AAAAAAAATTAATGAAAAAACGGTTTTACCAAAACCGTTTTTTAATTAGTTCAGAATTAATTAAAAATTAATTAAAACTTGCTTTTCTAAAGCCGTTTTCTGTGTTCAAAGTTTATTATTATTTTAATCGCAAAACACGATTTTTGAAAAGTCGTTTTCTAGAAGACGGCATTACTAAAGCCATTTTACCCTACTATGGGAATAAAGTTAAAAACACGCCCTAAAGTGGGACTAAAGTTCTAAAAATAGCATAGTCAGGGAAATCAGCCCTCTAAACGTCATAAACGTATATTCAACGGCTATAAGCATAAACATGTCTCTATAACGGTCATATTTCAAAAAAATATCAACCATGCTACCCAGTGCCACTTGTCTTGCTGTGAGAGCAAGACTTGAAAAAATAAATAAATAAATAAAATTTGGGCCAATCAAAAACCAGTGGGGGTGGTGGGGGTCACCCCACTGGGGTCTGGGGCAATTTCCAAAAAATATAAATAGAGCCTCATTCAATATATTTTTGGGGCACTGGCTGTTGGGCTTATGGGAATCCACCACAGGTTCCGTTTTAATAATCTGAGTCGTTCAATATATAGAAATCATCGAATACTATATGCCTGTAAAAAATCATATTGATCGGATATTGATAGCTAATTGATCAAATCAGTTTTGTATAATTAAAAATAGACGATGAAAAAATAAACGGTTGACAGAAAACGGATCAGATGAGATAGCTATCGATATCCAACGTGATTTTTTATAGACATATAGCAATTGAGGAGTTCTACATATTGAATGGTTCAAATTATCGAAACAGGATCCGTAGTGAACCTCCACAGATCGAATAGCACCCTGGAGGAGTGGAGGAAAACTGGGCCTATTTTTCACAGCTTTTCACTCTCTCAACCTTTTAACTGTGTCTTATTACCCTTATTCACACAAAAACTAGCTTGGCAATTCCACTCTCTCAACATTCTGACTGTTTCTTATTACCTTAAAAACTAGCTTGGCAAAATCAAAGAGAGGGAAATTTTTGGCATAAACTAGCTTGGAAATCATTACTCAATATCCAATTTTTGACAATTCACAACAATTTTCATCAACTGTTGCAACGAATTTGGTGGAGGCAAATAAAAAATCTACACCAAAATCTCTAATTGATATAATAAGATTTTATTTTAATTATGTTATTGTTTATTTTTCTCCAAAAAATATAATTAATTATTTTTTAAAAATACTTTATCCATACTAATTCTCCAAGCAAAATTATTATTTGATAAAAATAATAATTTTTTTTGAACATTGTTGACCGATCTTGCAAAGCAATATTAGGTGGTAAGATGATATCAAAGACACATACACTATCTATCGATTCAGCCTTCGAGTCTCTTATCGATAACTTCATTTCTCTTCAATCTTATAACAATTCAAGTAGTGATGGTAGTGACTCTGCAAGGGGTTAAAAAACTTAGAGCTAAAAAAGTCGAAAAAAATTACATAAGAAAAGAAAAGTCATTGAAGCTTAAACTTATGAATTTATAAATTTGTTGGAGACATTTAACCAATACCTCATTGAGAAGGAAATTAAAAAAATTGACAGAGAGGAAAGAAAAGGATTAGAATATTGGAGGAGATGAAAGAAATTGAAGTGTGAAAGGAAGAATATTTGATAATGAGTATGGACATTTCGAATATGGACCCTCAGGTGAAAACTTATTATACAATACGCAAAAATGAGATTTTGGCAAAAATATCCACATATATGAGCAACTCATATTACTATTTTTCTCAGCATCCTTCTCAATAATTGGGTACTATTATGTAATTTCCTTTTTTTATGTCATTTATTAATATACTATGTTTTTATTTTTCATTTTTTAATGTAGCTAGTATTTTTTTTTTTTAAATTTGTAATAGTGAGATGAATGGTGGTGAATTATAATAACATGCCAAATTATAAGCATGATCATTTTTGGCAATGACCATTGAGAGACGGGGATAGAGAGCGAAGGACAGCATAGTTTCAAGACAAAAATTAACCGAACAACGGCAAGGGGAGAGTGGGCGCGGGTCGGTTGCGGCCACGGAACCTTCAATTTGTCATCCGTCTGTCAGATTGGCGGATTGGAGAAAATCAATCCGCATCCGTCTACCCATCCGGTGGATGTGGATTGAGTAGATTGGCGGTTTGGCGGATGGATGCGAATCGGTTTGGCGGTTTAAAATTTTATAAATTTTTAACATAATTCAACTTGTGCACTTTCTAAAAAAAATATATATATATATATTACAGTTGATGACTTAAAAAAGTATTACAATCACTGTATGCCTTATCTAAAGAAAGAAAGTTTAAAACTTTAGAATATCACGATCACTGTATGCCTTATCTAAAGAAAGAAAGTTTAAAACGTTAGAATATCACGATCACTGCATGCCTCATCCACATATTATAATCACAGCATGATTCATCCACATAAAGTATTACAATCTATGGTTCTTAAAATATAATAACAATTCAAACCACCAAAACCATAAACAGAGCAGTAGTAGAAATTGTATGTCTCTGTATTGTTACATCTATAAATGTTTTTGGAAACAAAAACCAACCAGCATATATCATATTTTCTATTTATTATTTTTAGAGTTAGATCTAAAAACCAAAAAATATAGATAAATAATACGTTTATTTTTTTCAATCCTAAAAATATATTCAAGTTGAAAACTTTTTTTCAACAGAATATTTAAACTCTTTTTCAATTGAAAACACAAACATAATATTTAAACAAATTGAAAACACAAACTCTTATATTATTAGGGATGCTCGCGGTTTGGCGGTTCGGTTGCGGCCAAAGAAATCTCAAATCCGTCATTCGTCCGCCAAATTGGCGGATTAGAGAAAATCAATCCGCAACCGTCCGTTCGTCGTCACGCATCCGTCCAAAATACGGCAGATCGGTTCGGTTCGATCGATTTTGGCGGATCGGTATATCCGCTGCTCACTCCTAGTCACCAACCATCGGTTTTTTAGTTAATAAATAAATTACGCTTATTTGAATTTAGAACGAAAAAATAAAGAATAAATTATATTGTTAGTTGCTCTATTTTTATTGAAGTTTCATTTTGATTCTTGTAATTTTAATTCAAATTCTTTATTTTTAGTTTTGTTACAATATAATTTCTTTATCACTTAAGATTTTAAACCAAAAAAATCACATGCTAAACTAAAATAACTAAAGTGAAATTCAAAAGTAATTATAACAAAAAACTACTTAATTTTGGGGTAAATTACACTGACACCCCCTGAGGTTTATGTTTATTACAGTTTTCCCCTCATCTTTTGAAAATTACATGTCCCCCTGAGATTTAAAGTTTCATTACAGATTCCCCCTTTGCCCTTTTAATTTTTTTAAATACCAATTTTACCCTCATTGGGTAAATTACATTGACATCCCTCATCTTTTAGAAATTATAATCCCCTCCCTATGGTTTAAAGTAACATTACCAATTGCCCCCTCGGTTAATATTAGTTAGAAAAAAAATTCATTGAAAAAAAAAATTTGCTAGTAAAATTTTTTAGTTTTTGTTTAAAAACTAACGTAAACTCATTTTTTGAAAGTACGTTTTTTCCTCAAATTTACAAACTGAGACAACCATTTATAAACCAAAAAAATTATCAAACAAGTTTTTATGACAGTTTTTTAAATTTTGTAAATATAAATTGAAAACTGAAAATAAAATGGTTATCAAACAGGTCTCAAATGGTAAAAATGTCGTAAAATTAACAAATAATTAAATAAGTTACCAACGTAAGAAATGACTTATCAAAAGATTCTTAAGCTATATATGGTTTGATTTTTAGAATTTTTTTTTAAAATTAAAAATTAATTTGGTTAAGAAATAAAAAATAAAAAAATAATTTTCATTTCGTTTAAGAAATTGCCTAAGAATTTTTTGATAAATCATTTCTTACGTTGGTAACTTATTTAATTATTTGTTAATTTTACGGCATTTTTACCATCTAAAACTTGTTTGGTAACCATTTCGTTTTCAATTTTCAATTTATATTTAATTTTTTTTTAAAAACTTTCATAAAAACTTGTTTGATAATTTTTTTGGTTTATAAATGGTTATCTCACTTTGTAAATTTGAGGAAAAAACATAAATTCAAAAAATGAGTTTATGTTGATTTTTAAATAAAAATTTAAAAATTTTACTAGCAAGTTTTTTTTTTCAATTAATTTTTTTCCAATTAATTTTATTTTTCAATGATTTTTTTTCCAACTAATACTAACCGAGGGGGTAATTGGTAATACTACTCTAAACCTTAGGGAAGGGATTGTAATTTCTAAAATGTGAGGGGTGTCAATATAATTTACCCAATGAGGGTAAAATTGGTATTTAAAAAAATGAAAAGAGCTATGGAGGGAATCTGTGATGAAACTTTAAACCTCAGGGAGAGAGATATAATTTTCAAAAGGTTAGGGAAGAACAGTAATAAACATAAACCTCAGGGGATATCAGTGTAATTTACCCTTAATTTTTTCATTACACTAGTTTCTATAGTTTTTTTAAATTCTATTTTGGGTCCATGTAATTTTGCATGCAATTTTTTTCCGTTTAAAATGTATATTGCAACAAAATTAGAAGAGTAAGATTTTAAATTATTCAAATTAAAAATACTGAGACTAAAAGGATACTTTAATTAAACTACAGGAACTAATGGAGTAATTAATACGAAAATAAAAATTACACAAGTTTAACATAATTATATCATTATCTTTAATAGAGTTAAAATTATTGAAATTAATGTAAATTAATGAATTGATCAGAATGAGTTTTGGATTTATTATTTTGGTTAGATTCAAAATCTCTTATTTTATTTTTGAATAATGATATATAATAATATAACAATGATGTTGTCACATTTATATTCTCTTATTGAATGTTTAAATTTCTATTAAACTTTTTTTTTTTTGGGTTTTGAGAACCACAAAACAAGGATATCAAGTAGGAAAGTCATTTACACAATATGCCAGATTATGAGTTGGCTTAACCACAGACCTATCAACTTTAGAGACAATAATAACATTAAAATATCTACCATAATAGCAAATGTCTTTGATGATTGTTGATAAAAGCCAATCTACATTGGAATTTTCCTTTAGAGCTGCAAGTAGCTGCTGTGAGTCAGTGCAGATAATTATGCACAGCATTCCTTTTTCCCTTGCCCATTGGAGAGCATCCAAGCAAGCTTTAGCCTCGGCTGCAAAAGTGGATGGAAGCACAAGCTTAGCAGATCGGAGCGCAACCTTTTCTTGGTAGCCATTGTAACAAACCCACGCTATACCAGCACTTTGATCAGCCACTCTCCACGAACCATCTACCATGAACTTGTCTTCCTGAAAATCCAAATTGTAAGAAACAGAATTTATGATAGCATAATGATTATTGGTTTTATTAGTTTGGATATCCCTTTCAGGTGCTAAAGAAATTACATCCTCCACCAATCTTTCCTTAAATGAAGAACTATGAAGTTCCTTGGCTAAGGCAATGGTTTGATGGCAATCCAATGGATTATCGCAGGAGGCCACACTATTTCTCTGTTTCCAAAAAGCCAAAGGATAGAAATCAAAAGTTGATTATTTTCATCATTTTGCACATCCCTTCTCCAATTCTCAAGCCAATCCGTGAAAATCATTGGGGCTCCAAAATTGAAATCAAGACCTAACGAACTTCCTCTCCAAATCCGTTGTAAATCAGGGCATTGAAAAAACATATGTTCCAGATTCTCATCCGCTGCTGAACATCTAGGACATCCAACATAGTGAATAATATATATGTAATTTATTATGTCTAATCAATTTAATATTTTTGCATACATATTCTGCTCAACTTGTCTTATAAGATGAATGAATAAGATTAAATTAGTCCCACAATACACCAACTTCACTGATGAAGTTGAGATCTTCAACTTCAGAAAATCCGACCTCTAACATTAGGCTCAAGCAACCGCTTATTTTTTTCTTTTGTTTTTCCAAATAAATCAACCATGTACATGACACAAACCTAATAAACAAACTAAGAGATCCATCTTCTATAGCATCTCAACCAAACAGCAGTGTTGGCATTTTCTTAAAATAAAATAAAAAAATAATAATAATAATAATTAATTGATTGATTGATTGTAAAATTTAAATCTTTCCCTAAAGCCCATACCATCATTGTTTGGGGCAGTATCTAGACTGCAGTTTATCAAGCCTCTCCGCATACTCCATTGGGGTTGCATTGCTGCAAAATATATCATCCCATATCTTGTGGAGATCTGTTCAAAACAAAATCCAGGTCAATAACTAGTTTGTATTATTCACCATGGCAGGCCTATTCCTAATCTTCCTCAAAATAATGGTAAGAAACTTACAAAAATGAAAAACAATACCGACTACTAGCTAGGTATGAATGCATAATGGAAGAATGAACCAAAAAGCCCGTTTGGTTTGGTTTGGTTTTGAAATCAATTTTGAAAAATAAGTTTTTGAAAAGAGTTTTCAAAATCTGAAAATTTATTTGGCTGTATATTTTGAAATAGTTTTCTAATTTATAGTTTTGTAGTTTGGGATGATTTATAATTTTTTTTGTAGTAGAATAGATAGATGTAAGAGAAAAAGTGATTGATTGATATGTAGGATATGAGAGAATGAGAGAGGAGATAGAAAAAGTGATTGAAAATAGTTTTGATAAAATTGTAAACCAAACAAATTTTGGATTTTGAGCTCTCAAAAATTAATTTGAAAACTAAACCAAACAAGCCCTTAGGGTGGCTCCTGATCCTACAACTTCTCAAGATACAACATATAATATATGTTTTTTCATACTTTTCAGCCTATGTTACATTCGATAATGGCATATTGCTTTTGTTAAATGGATAACACCCCTAGCCTCTTTCCTTTTATATTATATATTAGTGTAGAATGGTTACATTTAACACAAATTCCCAAGGTCATAACACACTATTCCTGCAACATTTCGACAGAGTCTGCAACTTTTCTTTGACTATTTTGATTCAATAACCCATCCAAACCCATGATAATCTCGCTAACAGTCTTAAGTGCTTTTCCAAACTATACCATCAAAATTGCATGGTTAATAGAAATATCGCTAAACAAGAGGCTCTTGCTAAGAAACAGAGACTTGCTCCATGTCGGACATGCCCCGACACATGTTAGACACTCATCCAAAATATCCTATTATTCCTTTAATCTTTTAGAACCAGTCCAATGAAACAAGCTTCAGATACACATTTCCATCACTGGGACATGAGTGTCCCATCACTTAGGCACACATGAAACACATCGCATGTTTCAAGAAAATAACATAGAAGCCGATTACTGGAATCAAAATAAAAGTGAATTTATATCTATTAATCCCTTTTTCTTTTAAGCTTTTTTAAATTTAGAAACCCAAAGTCTAAAACTTCTAATTTGTTAGGAAATAGAGCCTTCTAATATGTAAGGGGAAAAAGTCCAAATTAATATTTTTACCCTTCTTTTCTAACATATAGAATGTGAAATATGATTTCTTAAACGTTACCAAATGACACCTTACTATTTTGATATAATAAGATGCGGATACACATTTGTAACCTAAAAATGGTAGAATTTGTTATTATTTTCATCCATAAATATATATTTTTTTGAAAATTATTGTGTTTGTATGTCCATATTGTATCATGTCCATGACTTGCATCCAAATTTGTGCTTCTTAGCACCCTTGCATGTGTAGCATAGTTTACATAGTAAATTTGACATACGCGAAGTGGTTTTGAAACTATTTGGTTCAATCATTTTTTCAGGAAAATGGAAAGTAATTTTGTATGATCACAATGCAAAGCCAGCAGGCATATTCAGGCAAACCTTTCAATCAATTAATACTATAGATGCTATAGAAATACACAATTTTTATGTTTTCAATGTATACTGATTATTTAATGGGAACACACATACCAGTTTTATCTGTTGATGAAAGACACATGATGATCATGTCAAATCTCGAGACCTTGGCTAAATTTTCAAGATATTTGACAGCCAAATCCATTTCTTCACTGCCAAACAGATAAACCAAGAGAGTTTCAAGCAGTTGATCTTATTAAAATTAATGCATTCCAGACAAAATTATCAAACCAAAAAATCTATAAAAAGATAACTCATCTACTTACCAGAAAAAAGTGACAATACATCTAATAATCTCAATTAGAATTGGAGCAGACAAGGCATTTTTAAATATCTGTGGCAGTGCAACCGGTGATGTCACCTAATAATGCAAAAGCAAATAGTCAGATGCTACATTGATGAACCAGTTGAAACAAAAACCGTCACCATAACAATAATGCCCCAATTTTAAAACAAGTGCATATGCCATTAGTTACTTAGGCTATCACATGAGGCACAAACCAGCTAACTTAGGTAATTACTGGTTTTTGGAGACCATCAGAGAGATACAGTTAAAATCAGAGCAACGCAATGATAGTTCTGTTAAACCAAACAGTAGTCCATTAAATTGGAGGGATAAGATAAATAAATTGCCAACAGTGATGCAAATCAGAAACTTTGCATTCTAAATTATTCGACATGCATTTTTTCTTTTGGTCCAACAATGATAGCCCTCCTCCTACCTATAACCCACCAACCCCAACCCAGGTGAAGATGGGAAAAAAGCAAAATAAACAAGCTTGCAGAGAAAGATCACCATTGCAGACCTTCAATAAACGAGCTTGCAGAGTATGATCACCAGCAAGTCCCCTCCAAGAAACCTCAAACTGATAAGCTGAATTTGGTGGGGTGATGTTTTTTGCAGCTTCAATCTTAGCAAGAGAAGCTGCTTGAGCAGCAAGCTCCTGCACTGATGCTTTGAGCTCTTGCTTTTTGTGATTTCTCTGTGAAGAAAATGGGGAACAGTTTCAAACAAGGAAACAGAGAGAACATGACAAAAGATGGAATGGAAACAACCCCACCATAAAAAATTGGATAGAATACCATCAGATCATATTATACAAAGTATTTCACTTTCAGACTTGTTCATGTTCGATCTCTCTCTTGCTGGTACTAAAAAATTATTTATTAAACTTGTAGTCAGATATATTTCATCATCACAAATTACAGCCACCACGTAAAGATATCGATCACATGGTCATGCTATTGGCAAGCTTCATTTTTAGTATAGGCAGTTCGGAGGAAACTCACAGAATTGGACATCTTCACAGCACAGCAGCATGCATTGCCATGCTTAATGCCAGACTGGGAGGGATGGCTATTCTTATTGAGTCCTTGGTCACGGATTCCTCATATGTTAAATGCAGTTATTTGCAAGTAATCAGTGGTAGCAATGACTTCACTATCATCCATCTCATTACACATTTTGTATGTTAAGATAGCAGTGATTTCACTATCATCTGTCTGATTGCCACTCTTAGTTGTATACAAACAGACAGACAGGTACACACACACACACACACACACATCCTAATTTTCCTTTCCTATTTGTGAAAAATATTTTTCACATATATTGGGCTTGTTTGGTTTGTATTTGAGAAACATGTTTTGAGATAAAAAGTACGAAAATTTGTTTGGTTTGGTTTTTTTTCAAAAGATGTTTTGAAAAATTATTTTGAGAGAGAGTTTTGTTGTATACAAACAGACAGACAGGCACACACACACACACACACACACACACACATCCTAATTTTCCTTTCCTATTTGTGAAAAATATTTTTCACATATATTGGGCTTGTTTGGTTTGTATTTGAGAAACATGTTTTGAGATAAAAAGTACGAAAATTTGTTTGGTTTGGTTTTTTTTCAAAAGATGTTTTGAAAAATTATTTTGAGAGAGAGTTTTGAAAAAAGTGATTGATTTGATGTGTATGAGAGAGAGATTTGTTTGGAAAACTTGTAAACCAAACAAGTTTTGGAAAAAAAATTTGGGAAAATTTGATTGGTTTGATTACTTTTGAAAACTTATTTGTAGAGAATTTTTTCCAAATTTTTTTGAGAAACACAAACTAAACAAGGCCATTGTTTTCTTATCTGCTATTCTTCCATTAGATGCATTGGTCAAAGTGATGAAAATTTTTTGAGAAACACAAACCAAACAAGGCCATTGTTTTCTTATCTGCGATTCTTCCATTAGATGCGTTGGTCAAAGTGATGCTCATAGTATTAGTAGAACTATTTGAGTATTACCTATAAAATGTTGAGTAATAGATGCGATTAATGTGGTAACAACATCACTTATGGTTTGTGATATAATATGGACCCTAATGCATTAAACCTCCTAGTCATATATCATGTTTATTATAGAGCAATGACAACTTCATGCCTAATGTTTAAAAATGTTACACGTCCCAAAGGATCTACAATTCTATTCCAAGCACATCTAGGAAAATCAGAAGTCATAAACACCCTAATTGTCCCAAACCACCACCTCCTCTATCCCTATGATTCCACCCACCGCAGCCAAATTCAGAACACCTCTACACCCACAGCACAATCGCCCCAATCTCCACCCCCTCACCCCTACGACTCCACCTTTCCATTTCCATGGCTCCACCCACTCAGTACTGACTGCATATATGTAGAAGCAGCTCCACGTAGAGGTCGAGAAATGTGAGTTGTGAGAGGAAGATTGAGAGAGCGTTTTGTCAAAATCCATAGTTGCATAATTGAGCCAAGAGCAATCAATTGTTCATTGGATCATGGGGGATGCCAACTTGTTTTAAACCGACAGTCCACTAATGGCTTGTTTGGTTTGGTGTTGTAGATCAAGGTTAGTGGGTTGGGTCTGTTGCTTTGGTTGTGGGAATTTGACGGATACCATTAACCCCTCTCTACGGTCTTCTTGTGGAGATGACAGACAACCTACTGAACTGTGGAGAAATCCCTCTATAGGTACACTTTTTGAGGATAGATTGTGGTTAGGAACCCCTTTAGAAGGAACCCAAACCCCTGGTAGGCACCCCTCTGGTAGGCACATTTCATGGAGAAACCTACACTTTTGAAACCCCACTTAATAGGGACGGGTCATGATACTGAAGAAGAGTTTGTTTGGGTGTGGTCGTGTTTATGGTGGGGGGCTTGGGTGTAGTAATAGATTATTTATAAGATAGAAGGTTAAAAACATAAAAGATTATTTAAGGTTTAACCCCATCTATCCAACAAGTCTGACAGGGGAGGTTACTATCATTTCAGAACCTTCAAGGAAGATCTCTGTAATTTCCTTAAACCACAGGGGAGGCCAGAGTAATTTACCATTGAATTAATGTTAGTTTTCATTAAATTTGTTTATTTTTGGCTGTAATAAATAAATAAATCTATATAAATATATAAAATAAAAATATTTTAAAAAATAGCCATATTTCCCGTGGTGCCCACATCCTGATTTTTTTGACACCATCCTGTGTCTGTGTGCATAACCACGCTTCATAGTTCTTCGCTAAGTGTTGTGTTGTGTCTTTTTCGCTATTTTTTGGGTAATTTGGTGGGAGAAAAACGTAAGAATTTTCTAGGATAAGATGGAGGACACTAATTCTTTATGGGATATAGTTTTTTATTTGTTTGTCATCTTTGGGGCCTCGGTTTCTTCTCCTTTTAGAGAGATTCCTTTTTTCTTGACTTCTAGAGATTGAAGAACAGTGTGTGATGTGTAGGTAGAGGTGCTGTTGCTTTCTATTTGTTATTTCTGCATTGGACGATTCCTTGTCCTCCGATTTCTTGTAATCTTTCTTTTTATTAATGTTAATAATTTTTTCTGTTGTTTCCGATAATAAAAATATATATATAGTTCTTCACCATTTTCATTCCACATGGGGAGAAGAAAGTGATAGAAAAGAAAGGGAATAAAAAATATGCAGATGCCAGTACCGATACTGCAGCCTTCTTGAATCAATTGACGAAATTAATTGTGTAATAAAGCAAGGATCTAATTATAAGACCTTAGAGCTCTCCAAACCAGAACTCTGCATAGCATCATCACTAGAGGCATCAGCTTCTCGTCCTTTACCTCTCTTACTTTTGCTTTCTGCTTCCACCACAGACATAGGTGTTCTTGCAGGAACTTGTCCATCACTGTCCTGCCAACAGCATTTGAAATTCAGGAAAATAAAATTGTAGCAACAAACTGCAGATCTCAAGAAAGTTTTACAACTTTACATGCAAGGGGAAACATAGCAATCAGAGAAGAAAAAGAAAAAAAAAACCGTGTCCTTCATACCTTGTTACGATCTTGAATTGCAGCAGCTCCCATTTTATGAGAACTGCTTGAGACAGATTGGATACCTCCATCATGTCCATTCCCCTCCACCTTTGACTTTCCTTCTTTTTGCACTCCTTGCATAGAGTTTTTCAATGATCCAGAAGCCTTCTTAAGTATCTCCTGTAAAAGTTAGCTTCACTGACTGATAAGAAGTCCAATTACTGCATTACAGCAGCAATAACATCATTACATTAAACACACAGGTAATCTTTTTATAGGTATCCTAGTGACAGAGTAGGGAGAGAGAAATCAAAGAAGAACCAAGGAGCATCTTATAGTTCTACAAGAAGCCATAAAGCATCAGCTCTGCAAGAATTTGGAGCAGATTAAAGCTTAGCTTCTGTTAATCCCACTTCCTAACTATCTTCTCTAAACTCTACCCTCCAGGGACCAATAAGACATTCAGATATCTGTCTATTGAATTGATAAACCACATCAATTTGGGAATCACACCATAAGATTTCCCAGTTAGTCGGTAGTCCTATGGGTACCAAACAGCTAAGAGAGAATATTCACATATTAGCATTTTTTCAGCACCACAAACTTATATTAGACAAGTGTCATGCAGAAAAATTTGTATTGGAATTCAATTTGTTTTCAGGTCAAACCAAGATATACTTATATTGCTCTTGGATGACCCTATAAGATTGTTGAATCGATAAATGCAAGCTCATAAAAGGGGTCCAACAGAATGTGGGTTATTATACTAATAAGACAATTAGGTACCTTATAGGAAATGAATTAAGTAGCCTAGCAAAATAGGGAATGAATTAAGTGACTATCACGTATCAACTAGAGTGCAGAATGGGGCAGTTGGGCTCCATGGTCCACCCAATTGCATTTGTTGTAACATTAAGCTTACTTGGGGTTGTCTACATAGATCTATTTTTCCAACAATTGATTCTATTCTAAATTATATCCTTGTTAAGTTTAAGGTATTCATGTTCTTTATAGTGAGTATTGCTCACAAATTAAACAGCGGATGAAGGTCCACTTATACAGCTCCAAGATGTGAAACAGACTGGAATAAAAACTGTATGATACTGGGATTCATACAGGCAATGCACCTGGTTCCTCATCTAGGTTCATAAATGTCCCAAAGTTTATGTTCGTCAGTGTAGATAACATCTTAAGCCACGAGCATTTACAGTTGCCAAATGCAAACTACAGCAATGAGTCCATGGTAGATTCTATGCCAAATTTAGAAGCAACAAGTTACATCCGTCTTAAGCATGGCAAAAATTTTACCTTCTCATACAAAGATTTAGCTTCAGCATACTGCTTCTTAATCTCTTGGTTGAGGGGCTCCAGCCTCATGGCAAACTCAGCATCTGCAGTTAGCTATACTTATCAAATCAGAAATACTAACTAATCAGAAAGGATTTTGTTTAGTCAATGATTTAAACAAAACAAATATTTTTAGGATTTATCGTACCCTCCATTGATTCTTTAAGTTTCCCAAGTTCTTTTCTAGCTGTCGATCGACGTGAATATGCTTTAATGTAACGATCATCTAAATTTAAGGCCTCCGTGCAGTCATCCTCAGCCTCTTGGAATCTAATCATAATCAACACAATAATGAGAAGAAAACAAACATGTTAGGCTTCATATAGATTATAAGTTCCCTTCATGAGCTTTAATCTCAGCAAGTTGAATGACCCATACAAACAATTGAACAATATTAAAAATATTCTGGAAAGTTGGAAATGAAGATCTGTCAGGATCTAAAAAAACACTTCTTCAGAGTGACAAATTATGACCAAATATTCACCCTAGAAGCCAATTTCATAAACTGATAAATCACAACACATGGGAATTTGGTGAACACTGAATTACTCAATTTTTTGTCTAACAATGCTCATACTCTATTCCTATGTCACTTGGAATGCAGATTGTTCCGGTACGTTGAACACGAACGGAAACACGGTACGCCACATGCTTCAAAATGTGGTAGGACCGAGGTAGACTAGTGCAGATTACGCAATTGGAATTTACGATACTTCTAGAGCAATTTTCTTTTAAGCCTCTTCTTGCTGCCGTATTTATGTTAATGCACTTCCAAATGAAACGTAAACAAGGCATTGCTGCTCCCAAAAAATTCCTTCGCTAGTAAGCTAGCTTTGTAAGCTAAGCAAGCCTGGTTCTCTGGGCACTACAGTAGGACATGGATCGATCATGACAAGAATGGATTTCTCTTTAATGTAAGGTGATAGAACGGTTTGTAGATGTCTTCAAATAAAGTCTCTCGCAATTGTTCTTTTGCTGATCAGATAGTTCTTGAAGAGATTAGTATTAGTTAGTGATCCCGGCTTAGTGATTCTTTTGAAAGCCTAGTACAAGGTTTGGGCTAAGCTTACAAACGATTCTTCCAAATGATCCCGGCTTAGTGATTCTTCCAAATGACACGTAAACAAGGCATTGCTGCTCCCAAAAAATTCCTTCACATTAGTAAGCTAGCAAGCTTGGTTCTCTGGGCACTACAGTAGGACATGGATCGATCATGACAAGAATGGACTTCTCCGTAATGTAAGGTGATGGAACAGTTTGTGGATGTCTCCAAATGCTGAAAAGTCTCTCGCAATTGTTCTTTTGCTGATCAGATAGTTCTTGAAGAGATTAGTATTAGTTAGTGATCCTGGCTTAGTGATTCTTTTGCAAGTCTAATACAAGGTTTGGGCTAAGCGGCTTAAATATCTTTTTATCAAGGCTAAGGGTTGGAACTTGTTGATTCTGCACTTAGACATCCAAAAAAAACATAGTATATATATTTTAAATTGATCATGTAAGAACATATTTCTAGTAGCATTATGACCCCTTTTTTAACATTTTGCCCTTCCAAAACTCCAACTCCCCTGTACTCTAGTTCATTATATTTGATTTTCTTCCTCCTAAGAAAATCTTTTTAGGAAATAAATTGAAAAAGGAAATTAATTTGGAATCGTTTTTATCATATTTTGGAATGTGCACTCCAAATGTAAATTGCTATGGTATTAGCATTTTGTGGTAACACTACTCCATCCATATTGACATCAAATTTTAGAAAAAGTTTACATCTGTGAGTGGCAATTTATTAGTGATGACTGATGGAATCGCCATTCACATAATAAAGCTTGGTGACATTGAGAGTGGTTATCCTCTTAGAGTTATAGATGATGTAGGCAGTTGGATTACTTTGTTCTACTGGTTAACATTAAGCAGTGAGGCTTTGTCTAGTTATCTTTAAATTGAATAATAAATAAGGAAACAATAGTTCGTAAGGGGCAGACGACAAGAGCAGAGTCTGAGCAAAATTCAAGATTTGTTGCAAACAGGTCGTATTTGTTCTCATGAAGGTTTAAATTTTGAGGATAGCATTAAAATTTAAAATTCTCCATAAGTCATGTACATGAAATTAGAAATTAGGTTACTAGCTTTCTGATCACTTATTATGGTCCAAAAGTCTCAGATATTAACAATAGGGTGGAGGAAGCACCAAATCTTCTAGCTGATATCCTCTATCATGTTGTGCCACATTCTTTTACTGTTTATATATAATATCTTCTCATCCAGAAGAACTTGCCTTCTTATTTTGAGATAAGCCATTCCCCTATTTGCATAAGCTACTGCAGTTGGTGATAATGCAATGCCCCTAGAATAGCAATCAATTGCTTCTTTAAACTTCTTCTGTTTAAAGAACTCATTACCCTGTAAATTGAAAAGAATCCATATCAACATCAAATTTATATATTTCCACAATAGCATCAGAAATCAGAAATAATAAATAAATGAACTCCAGTAGAACAAATCATACCAACTCCTTCTCTGATGCAGCATCGGGCGAGCTCTCTTCTGTCATGAAACCACTTGATAAATTCCTGATTGAATCATAATTTCTCAAGTGATCATATTGTCGTGCAGTACTTGGATTATCAGATGCAGGGGCTTTTGTCCTGGGTCTTCTATCCTCGCCAACTACTCCGATCTTTTGAGAAGATGATACCTTCAAGGAGTAACCATTCAAACTTAAAAGCGAGTAATAAGAACAGGTAAAGAACAGCAAAGAGGATTAACATGACAGGTCTTTATCACATAGATTCATACACACACATGCATTCTCCAATCTGTAACACTGTGATAGTTTCACAAGTGAACCTCCACTTGTAAATGTGTTCTTTGGTCACAAATAAATAAGTTGACTCACACTGTTCACACAACATCTGTGTCTCAGAAGCTCTAGGAAAATAAAATGCATCAATTCACAAAAACAAAAAAACATAAAAAAAAAAAGAGTGAAATATGCTGCCAAGATAAGATCCATAAGCACATAGTACATTAGAGAAACAATTAATAAAACATTATTTACAGGGTCAATTCTACCCCTAAAAAAAAAAGGATAAATACAAAGGGTCAATTCTTCAATTATATTTAAATGCTATGAAAAACATTCATAACTTGATGAAATTGCATTTAGAACACCAATGTAATTTGTAAGTGAGACGCAAAAGAACAAGCTTAACATCAAATCTCCACACGGCAATGAACACATCTATAAGAGACTTTAGTGGCATATTTTCAAACATATACATATAAAAAGGCATTTGTTCTATTACCTTTTTTCTCCTCCCCTACACCCCGTATCAAAGAAAGCCATGGCAACATTGAAAATTTTAAGGATTATAATTTATTTATTTATTTAAATCAAGGCTTGAGAATCAATCAGTGTTGTGAATACCATATCTTCCTGGACTGGTAAGAAAACAATACAAAGAGGGATGAGTTAATTTGGGGGGCATACTGGTACATACCAAGATAATTAGTATTTAGTCAATTTAGACTCTTTTTTCTTAACAAAAGATTAGTCCATTTTTTTTTTAAAAATAATAATCATAAAGGGTCGAATAAAAGTTTTGGAAGAAATTGATTAATATATCCAAATATTTTCAATATTTAATCAAAATGTATTTAGTAAAATGTACAAATTATATTGGTTCTGTTGTTTCAAATTGTTGAGCACTAAAAAGTAATAATTTTGAACAAAAATCTATATAATAAGGCAAGCGGGTTTTTTTTTTAATGTGTTGAAAAAATCCTACATGTCATTGTGAATAGCGATGATTAACTCAATCCAACTGTCAAAATTGTCCTACCAGAAATAGAGATGTAATCGGATTTATGGGTTGAGATTAGCCCAATCAAAGGGTAGTTCTATTTATTTATTTTGAAATGTGAAATTTTAAAATTTTGTTCAATTTCTCACATCTATTCTAATGACTAATTTCAAATTTTGAAACTTTTTCAACTCTCTCTCTCTTTGAAGCAAGTTACAATGCATAATTTTTACACAAAAAATTTATATACAATAATGTGTCAAATTAAAGACTTATTATCTTGACATAAAATTCTAAAAATATCACTACCGACAAGTTTCATATACATAAATTTTATGTAAAATATTTTTTATGTTATATTTGGTAGACCAATTAGAAATTTCATTGCCTATTATGTGACATGAGATTTAAAAAATATTGAACATTAAGCATTTTTATTTTTCATCTTTGATCAATTTATCTTGCTTTTTCTTTGTATAGATTGTTATAATATAGCTATCAATGGTTACTGAATGGCTCTTGAATCCTATTACTTCTATTTTCATGATTAGTTTATGTTATTAAACTAAGTTATTTTCTACTTGTGCAACATTCAAAAAATAATAAATGATGAATTATTGATTTTTAGTTTCATGATGCCTTCTAGGAATAAATGGCTATGGTCCAATAATAAATGATTAGATTATTGATTTTTATTTGTTTTTAATTATTATTATCTATTAATTTTTGCTTAAGTTTCAATGTGATGCATTTGTGTTTTATTCTTTAGAAAACATGAAATTCTTTTAAAGTTTCACCCAACTCATTTTTACATAGAAGTTGTTCCAATAAAATTTTAATGTGATGTGCCATATTTTTCAGCAAGTCAATGTGGCAAATGCCTTCGGGCACAGGTCATAGCTAGTTATATACATTATGTTACCAATCATATTACTTTTGTGTGCATTGTGTACCATCAAGTACTACAAACTAGATATGTATTTGAAAAGTTAATGTGGTGTGTATATTTTCTAAAATAATTCTTTTAGGAATATTGATATTTTATTTACTTAAAGACTTATGAAATCAAAACACTTCATAAAAATATAATATTTATAGCGATATTTCTAAAATGGTACACTGAAATGCACCGGTACTGATACATATCTAACGATGGTAAAAACAGTACACTAGCCAATATGATATTAACAATATTGGGGTCAATTGTTCATTTCACTAACGAAAAGGAAAAAATTGATGGGCTGTATAATTACCAAATTTTCCTTGCCAAGTCCTTGTGGTTTCAGTTTCTTGTCTCTGTCACTAGGTGACATCTCCCAATCCTGCAATTTGTTCAAAAATCCCTGGAAATCCTGATGAATGGAACAATTCCCCAAAAATAAAAAATAAAAAAAATTACAGCAAGCAAAAATATGTCTTTTAATTTAGGAAAATGCTAATGACCGCCCAATGGGTGGTTATTAACATTGATTTAATAGTAAGTGTGTAAATGTGAAAGTGTTTGGAAATACATAAGAACTGCAATGTGATTCTAACTATTTTGACATAATTCTGGTACTAATGACAGTCCATAGGGATGTCGCTAGCATGACCCTTTATTTTATTCACATGCCATAAGTCTAAACCTTTTGGTATCCAAGAAGAAGAGATTGAGGCATTTATTTGACTAAACCTAGCTTAAAATTATCAATTTCTGCTCTATATTTAGCCTAACGAAAGAGAGAGATTTGCACCCTTCCCAAAAAGCACAGAAGTTCCACCACTAAACAATGATAAAAGAAATTCTCCATTTGATCACCGCACGGTATTACTAGTTAGTTTTCTTTTTAAACATGTTAGGCTTCATATAGATTATAATCCTTAAAAAAGTAAAATAACATAAAGCACAACATTCAACATTTTCATTTGTTTTCATTTTATCAGCTTTCTGAGTAATCAAATGGGCCCTAACAACAATTCTTATACATATATATATATAGAGTCAAAGACAACAATTTCAAGGATAAGAAACACGCACCTAAGCTAGTAACAACTAACAGTCTAACAACTCATAATTGAATCAAATCCTTAAACCAGCAAGTCGATCCAAGAAATTACACTTACGATTCCTAAAAGTTTTTAAACTGCAATATACTACTTACTATATATAACTGCCACATCATATCCGACCACTATTTCAATAATTTTTCTCTTTCATCAAACTATCCAAAACTGCAAAACAAATTTTCAATTGTAAGTGCATTGCATTTGCACCACCACTAGTCTATATCTATACTATTATAAAGAGAAAGCTCAACTTGGTTTTCATCTCTCCTTCTTTTAGTTATTCCAAAGTACCCCTATAGCAATTAGGTAGGTAATTATGCCCTAAATTCTTTTTTAATTTTTTTTTTCAAATCTCTTAAATTCTGATTTCAAATTTTAAAATCAATCAACAGTTTACAATCTTTATCTTTCTGAAATAAAATGATCATATGCACACGCATCGCCACCACTTCCTCTAGCATACATAAAGCAGACAACTTACTTGGTGTGTACTTTGTCACATAATTTTGCTTTCCCAAAAAATAACCACAACAATATTAGATTTTCTCCAAATATTTAACTTTGCCCAATAGTTATTTAAGAATTAAAAAGATCAAAAATAAAAAACTAAAATCAACTAACAAAAACTTCTATATACAGTTGCCCACTACGCACTCTACTCTTCTCATGATCCCCCCAAGTAATCGAAGAAGTAATAAAATTTGAAATCAACAATTACATTGCGATAATTTAGGAATGAGAAAAGTATCAAAAGGTTGTTCTTGGTTGTATACTTTATATGATAGTTTAGATGCATATAATATGAAGCAGAGAGGGAGAGAGAGAGAGAGAGAGAGAGGAATACCAGAGATTGATCGCGACCGTGCTTGCTCGGAGCCCTGGCCATTGATTTAGTTGCGAAAGCTTGAGAGCTCTGAGGAGAGCTTCAAGACGACGACGGTTTTCAATCGAACGTAAAAGAAAGGTAATAACTCTTAATAGAAAAATAAAAAAATTTATATTAAAAAAAAAGTCATGATAGAGCACCTAGAGTATTTTTTTCTTAAAGTTATCTAGAGTATTTTTTTCTTAAAATTTTTTAAAGTGGTGTATTGTGTGGTTGAGATTTAATATTAAAAAATTGATGTGACTTGTCATTAAATCTCAATCATACAATGCACCACTCTAGGAAAAAAACTCTAGAGGATCCTTGCTCATTATAGAGACCCCTCTAATCACCATCCCCGCAACCCCACAAACACGTGGCGGGTGGTGATTGGAGGAGCAAGAAAAAAAGAAAAAAAAAAAGAACATGTAACCAATGAGAGAGAGAGGGTCAAAGGGGGTGAGGAAAAAGGGGACATGAATCATTTTTGTAAAAAAAAATAATAAAGTAAAAGAAAAGAAAAAGAAAAAGAAAATGAAAATGGGAAGTGATTGAGACCCCCTCCAATTACCACTCCGCCACCTCCATACACACACACATGGGGGCTGGTGTTTGGAGGTAAAGGAAAAAAAATGTAAAAAACAGGCCAATTAAAGAGAGAGGGGGTCATGGGGTGCCCCTTGTGGGGGTCTAAGTCATTTTCCAAAGAAAAAAAAAAAGATAAGTAAAGCAAAGTAAGAAAAGAAAAAGTGCATGAGTTTAATATCTTTATTCGGTCTAAATAACTATTATGATAGAAAGTTGGCGTAATTTTTCAAATATTAGGAGATAATATGTATTAAACCCAAATATTAAGAATGTATGTGTAATTTACCTTCTTTTTTTTGGCTTTTAGGGGAATATCAAATGAATGAAGTTCAAAATTAAATATCAATTTCATGAAAAAATTTATGAATTTAATTTTTAATATAATAAAGTTTTTTTTATTAATTTGTAAATATTTTTTCAACCCTTTACTAAAATTATATTTTTTCTATTTTTTTTTTTTATATATTATGGCCAAGAGAGAGAAGAAAATTACATTTACAAATATAAGATTCAAACTCAAGTATCACGCTGAGAAGGTGCTTCACTACCAAACCACCCTTTGATCTTTTAAAAAATATTTTCCCGCTTCGAAAGTATAAAATATTTTGTGATAAAAAATACTTATTTTTGGTTGACCACATTTTTATTGTATAACATGCCAAAAAATTCTAAAAATATTTTTCATAAATTATTTATCTCCAAACAAAGGGTTAGATAGGAAAAATTATTAGATCATCCCATAAAATCACGTGCGTTGCCTTACACTCCGTTTGGACCATGAGATGAAAAAGAAAAAAATAAAGAAATGATTAGAGTCTCTTACATAGGTGATAATAGAAAAAAACTTATTATGATTTCTCACTTTCTTGTTTGGGTGGACTATGACTCAAATAGGATACAAAACTTAAGTTTGGAGGGATAGTTTAGGTATTATATGTATATATATATATATATATTGTGACAACCATCTTCTTAATTAAATAAGTTAATTAAATTAATTATTTGCTTATATGCTTATTGTGTGTTATGTGAAATATGTGCCACATGATATGTACTTGCATTGATTGATATTGTAGTGTTATTGTGAACAGATATAAGCAATGGATTAAACCTTTCTGATTCGCTAATTGTAACGAGTTAGAATTAAATAATAAAATATGAAATTAGAGCCTAATCCATCTTAATATAATTCAGTTTTGTGCAATTAAGATTATATGATGATAAGATTAATTAAATTTGAATTATTTAACTACAATTTAATTTAAGAAATGAATTATTATCATTATTATTATTATTATTATTATTATTAGAGCACTCTACTCATCTAATGATCAAAGAAAGAGAGTGAGAACTAGGTGCTCACCTAGGAGTACCACACGTAGAGAGAGGAGTGAAAGTGCTCCAAGTATAGGACTTAGCAAGGAGAGAAATGAAAGAAGAACTAGTAGGAAGCTCTGAACTTGACTGAATTTTCTTCAATTATCAAAAAATAGGTAAATTCTTCTTCCCAATTTCTTGAAACTAAAGCTCCTTTGCTTATCATCTCCTAAGACACAATGTAATTGAAGAGAATTTACAAGTAATTAGAGGCTTTAGTACATGCAAACCAAGAGAGAAAAGGATTGAGGGAAATTGGACTTAAGTCCACCATGCATGGCATAATTATTGAATTGCATGCTCATTCTTTTGTAGTTTTGCATGAGTTCTGAATTTAGGAGGAAACTACATGAAAATCAAGGAAAAAAGCTCCATGCGTTCACAATTTAGAACTCAATTTGTATAGTAAATAATTTTGTATTAAAGGTTAAGAATTTAAATCTTTACATGGATTTGAGTTGTGAATTGAAATCATGAATTGTGTTTTGAATCAAATATGTTCCTTTTAAAAGTGTTAAGTTTTGAAAGCATATAGCATGAAAACAAACTTGAATTTGCAAGGTTATGTATTGCCCAGCAGAGCAGATTTCGACCAACGTTTTCAGCCCAAACCGCTCGAGCAGATTGGGCCTCCGCATGAGCGGCCCACCTTCAGTAGCCTAAGGGTGTTCACTGCTTGACCGCCGCTCATGCGACCAAGCCACCGCACGAGCAGCCAAGGCAACCACACATGCGGCCAATAGGGCAGTCCCAGTTTTGTTTTTCGTTTCACTTTTTCCTTTTCCGGGCCTCCGTTTACATAGTTTTTAAATGTTTTATAATCATTTGCATCTCATGAGTGCATTAGAGTGCATGAATGAAGTTAGAACCGAATGAGTAAGCAATGAATATAAATTGACGGAATAATAACAAAGCGAATAGAAATAGAAGTGATTGAATCTGGCATGGATATAATTAAACTGTTGTGCTTGAATTTGTTTGTTAGATCGGACGCCATAGCTTAGTGCCTTATTGTTTGCGTATCGAGGCGCCTATTATGAGTAACAATGTTGTAAAGATATGTTCAAATTATATTTATTTTCTGAATGATAAATTATATTGTTTCTAAATGGTTACTTTCTATCGATTGAATGATGATTCTCTTTTGAATTGTATTTGTGGCATCCATAGCGTATTGTTATTGTTATTGTCATTGATATCGCTATTGTTACAGAAATCTCTGTCAGTTCTAAATATTGGAACTATTGTTATTGTATGATGGCCATCAATTGATTGTTCGGTCTTTTAAGACCAAGTGTATCGTTACTATTGAATGTATCACGTATGACTTATTTGTTGGAAATGATTGGAAAATTCTGGGTAAAACATAATTTTTTCCTAACTTTGGTCAATTATTTAGGTGGGACCCGTACGCCAAATTTGGCGGGTCTAAGTGGTAACGCGTTCTATGCCGCGTTGTGATTCACGTGGTATATTTGGTTGCTCAAAACCATTATCAAGTGAATGGGAAATTGAAGCCAAAGTGTGCTCCATGGAAATGGAGTTTTGGTGAAAATTCCTTAAGGTTTGTGTATTGGCTTGTCCCACATTGATTTGGTGGGAAGTTTTGAATAGGTTTATATAGCTTGGAATTATAACTTGGGGAGGGCCCTAAAGGGCATCCCAAGTTTGTAGAAGGGAGAGGTTATGGGCAAATTGGGCTAGACCCATTGGACCCAAAAATAACCACACGCGCGGGTGCGTGGTGTGAGGTTGGGCTTGTCCGGCCCAATACTAATCTTTTTGGGCCAAAAACATTTGAATATAATTTTATTTTTGGTAAATAAAATCTATTTGAATTCAAATTATTTTCCACCTCTTCAAATTTTTGTACAGGTTAATTCAAATCTGTCCAGATTTTCTGTACAGAATTTATCTGTCCGAAGCAAATTCAAATCTGCGCAACAAATTCGGTTTTTTGTTCAAAATTCAAAACCAAACAGATTGAAAACTGTTCAAACAGTGCTGAACAGGTACTGTATCTGTTCAAAATAGATTACTACCTGTTGGATTCAAATTGAAAAGCCACCAATCCTTCTATAAATAGACCAGCCCTCATTTGATGTTTTATTCTCTAATTTTTTCCTCCATCCTTGCTGCAATTTAATCTTTGCATTTTGCTGCATTTATTCTATTATTTTCTTTGTCAGAAAGAATGTATACACTAAGTGTGTTTGTTGAACAAATAAATTGTAGTGCTGCATTTATTTGTTGTTGATCATTTCATCTTGGGAGATAGACATCCATATTTTGAAAGCACTGTAGAGAGAACGAATCTGTCTTAAGGACACAGTGTCGAACACTGGACTTGATCAGATTATTAATCAAGTAAGTTGTTTAATTTATTTTTCTGTTTTATTTATTTATTTAAATCAGATTTTAATTTTGTTTTGTAACAAAATAAAATATATTTTTATTTATTTAATTTTATTTTTAGTTTGATTTTTGTAATCAAACATTTTTCTCTCATTTCCTTTATTTCTTTTGTATTCTGTTTGTTGTTAAGTACACAAACAGAATTAACCTATTTAAATACAGTGGAGATTGTCCAACATTATTTAATTATCGATTGATTGAAATGATTGAATCGAATGATAGATCGACAAATGATATTGATTGAAAATGTATTAATGTTAATCGATTGTTTAAAAAATTGAAGGACATCATTCTTAAACTCTTTACACATTTATTATTCACTGGGCTATAGCTCACAGTTTACTATATATATGTAGGTGGCCAGACACCGAATCAAAGCTAGAGGCGCCGACCCGAACTCACATTTTGTCAAGCTAGCCATTGTGCCTCATAATGAGGTTCCGAACTTGCACGAGTCAAAGGCGTTTTGGGTGATTCAAATCCACCGTTTTGCTACATGTAAAGAATGTCTAAGATTTTTTTGTTTATATAGTTTTTGATGATGGGATTATGTCCTTAACTTGCATGCTATCTTGTATATGTATTTTTGGTATAAGTGGTTATGAATATGGCTATGTACATAAAAGTGTGTTTCCATTCAGGTCCTCATAGCTCATTGGACGATGTATATT